GCTTGGTCCTGACCTACAATGTAGATAGTGTAGGCCAACAAGTAGCATTGCTCAATGTGCTATTTGCACACTGGGAGAGTAGAGAGGTGGGAGGCAGGGCTCAAGCACCTCCTTTGGAAGGAGCTTACGTTATTCTTTTGCACTGACAAACGGCTTGCTCTCTCTTCTCTTCTGCTGAACCAGATGCCCTTGTGCCATCAGGAACTCTTCAAACTCAGTTTAACTTCTAGAGGGTGGTTACCTCCAGAGGAATGGAGAGCCTGTGCTTATTTTTAAAGGAATCAATGGAGTTTATATGAGGGAACTTTTACAATATAATAGTTATTTCAGAGTTTCTAAGCGATCAAAATGTTTCCTTCTTAAAAGGTGGTGGACTGTTGTTAATGGTGGACTTTAATGTTTTGCACCCAAATATATTTCTCTTGGGATTGGTCTAAGCTAGGTTATAAATTACTTAGAAAGGAGATTTTTCTTTGCTGATGTTGGCTTGTTTATGGGCTGCTCTGTGTAATTAATAATTGATATTTTATGGACTATTTCCAATATATAGAAAGAGCTTAAAAATATGCTTAACCACTCAGCATAAATGAAGACTGACTAACAACTGCATTGCTTTAAATGTTAAGAAATAGTTTCATACTTAGTCATGCCTAGAAAGATGAATGAAAGTGGTGCAAGTGGTTTCCTGTTGCGGTAATGTGCCACTAAAAACTCTGTTTTCAATATGTTGTAGAGAAAAAAAAAATGCTTTGTAAGATGCTTTGGTCATTTGTTTCTGCCAGTTCCCTTCTAATCCTTCTCCACTCCTTCCATACTCCTGCACTAGCAGAGGTGCTCCTCTGCTTCTCTTACCTTGTTTATATATATCTTTTTTTTCCCTTAAATTATTTTTTCTCATTCTATTTCTCTCATTCCTTTCTTTCACTTTTGTTTGTCCATGGCCAAGAATGGGTTGAAGAATGACGCATCTTCCTCTTAGACCCAGCAAAGATTACTGGAGTGGCTCAAAGGCACAGTCTTGTGCTGAAGTCAAGCAATGGTGCATAAGGCTGTCACTAGTGGTAACAAACATTTTGCATGCTTGCATCCAAGCAGACTATGAGCTTTACCAAGCATAACTATGTTGGTTTTGAGTGCTTTTGCTGTTTCTGCTCGTACGTGTGGTACCCTGTTGATTTCAACTAATGTTTTAATCTAATGCCCCAAATACAGGGGATCTGTGGGAAGATGTTAGGTCTTTTGTGGATGCCTGAAAAATAGGCAAGTATTAAGCTGAAGCAACCTGGATTCTAGGCTGTCTTAGAGCTCACAGTTATTTAGGCTAGGGTAGCACTAGCTCAAAATACCTCCCAAATTGCAGGCTGTCTTTATGATGGTGAGACGGGCTTAGAAGCTGGCTAATTGTCCAGAATAGCTATGCAAAGTTAGCAAAGCAAGGCATTTCTGTGTAGAGACAAACTCTGATCCCAGATTCTAAGCAGCTGCTTGGTGGGCAGCCAGGGATGGGTTAAAAGCAGCAGCCAGGAGCCTGCCAAACAGTTGATTTTGTCTTTGCTGCTGAAATGGTGTTAATTAAGCCACAGTAAATCAAACAAGGAAACCAAGATCAAGGTAGGTTCTCTGTAGCTTTGCTCATGCAGCCAATTGAGCTACATCAACTAGCCTTCTCTGTCATAAGAAACAGTACTGGGAGCTGTTTTCTTCCTGCAATGGCAGGGTAAGGCAGCAAAGACTAGAGCTGTGGTGTAAACAGAACAAAGTGACAGGCGTTAGCCTTTTAATTGAATATTAACTCAAAATGAGAGCTTCAATTTGACCTTTGGGGAATCTCAGTTACATTGGTAGCGCATACGTATTGGAATTCTCCAAACTCTTTACTTCTTAAATCTAAACTTGGACTCTCCTATTCACCTCAGTTTTCCAAAACATTTAAAAAAGCAACACTAAAATGCTGCAATTTGAATATATTATGTACACTGTTCTTTTAAAAATAGCAAATTGTTAATGTACACATTCACTGTGATGCTTTATTATTGACAAATTAATTTCATACACTGTACATTTTATACATATCTATTAATATACACATGTATATGAATTTACAGTCACAGTACTTTTTCAGTGTTAGGGTGGTGTTTTTTTTCATTTGCATAAGTTTTTACAATTTTCAGCCCCAAATCCTTACCACAAACAGAGCCAGCTTTTTATCATAAAGTATAATGAATAAAAGTAAAGCTGAAGTCTGTATGTAAGATTTTACAGATAGAGCTTCATGTGCAGTGATAAGAAGGATACCAATTGATTTGAAATTATTTATTGACAATATTGGATACCTGAAAAGATTAGGAACAGATTTGATTGAGAAAGTGTGGCAGAAAGTACAGGCTTGATTGTTTAACAACAGGCAGATTTAATCCTGTGGTTTCTTAACGGCCCTTTCTAGGGGAAGATGGGAAAATTGGCTCCAACAAAAAGATAATTGCCCTTCTTTCCCTCCCCCCTCCATCTCTCTTTAATGAAAAAAAATTGAAAATATGCATCCTTCTTCTTTAAGGTTTCAAAGAGATAAACAGACAACAAGAACTCGGACTAATGAAAGTTGTAAACTAAGTACAAATTAAATTAACTGTGCAGATTGTTCAGTACGCAAATGAGTACATGAATAGATCAGTACCTCAGCCTTTTCCTGGCTTTCCATAGGTTTGATTCAGGCTCAGTCCCTATTTTGAACAGAAGGTTTATCCTCTAAATATGTTCAAATCAAATATGCTCTGTTTTAGCATAACTGAGATAACAGAGAAACATAGATAACATAGAAAACCAAGGAATATAACTGGAAGATAAACAAAGCTTCCTTTGAATGAGGGATAAACAGACCTAACCAGTTTGTGACTGAGCAAGGTTAATTAAGTCCTATGGCAGAGTATAAAGTATTTTAATTTCAGTGCTTAGCATAAATAGCTCATGAAGAGGCCTGTGGTAAGCAATCGCTGAGTATCAACACTCTGAAGCAAAATTAAGTCCAGCAGTTTCTCTGTTGTCCAACAAAACACTGTCTCTCAGGAAATCCATCATCTCCACCAGGAGCAAAGAAGTAATTGCAAGAGCATGCAATTATACCATCTAAATTTCCAGAATAAACATAATTCCTTACCGGTGTTTTGTTGTTTGTTTTTTTTTTTTTCTACTCCTATCATGCTGAAGAAACAGTGTCAATGGAGCTTCTTGCTGAACTGGTTCAGTGACCTCTGATGTGTCTGTCTGCTCCTGAAGGTGCTCACAGGAAGGTGCAAAATGAATTTGGATCCATGAACCTGAGAGAATGCAGCAAATCGTGCTGTTGTCACACTGTATACCTCCCTTTTTCTCCTAGCATCTCACTGAAATATGATGATATTGCCTTTTTCAGGGCTGCTGCTTTTTATACCAGCTGCTGTCAAAGGTTTGTTTGTTTTCCTTTTACATTAGTAACATTAGCTCAACTGTCTGCAACCCTCCAAGGTGTATTGGAAAGGGCTGTTATTTTTCTTGGGTGGGATCATAAGTCCATAAATCAAATGTAAGGTAAAGAATGCCAGTTACATCCAAATGATGGCTGGCTACTTTATAAAGTATTATGGAATTATTGTGGACTGATAAAGGCCTTGAGAGTGTCTGGTCCTGATTGTGAAGGATGCTGTGGTTAGAGCTGGGAAGTGGGAAAATTGCAGGCAGTGGGTGCTGTGATTTGAGTACCTTTGTTGGAAATGTCACAGCAGATTTGCTGGGTGACTTGAAGCAAGAATTGCTTTTTGTGATTCAGTTTGCTCATCTGTAGCAGCGCCTGTAATATGTCCATGCAGGAGCATGGTAACACTGACATCATTATTTTTGAGTGCTTCTTGTCTCTTCACTAAAAGGTGTTATGGGCATAGAAGCGCTGAGTTGTGGCCATTGAGTTAACCACACACTTTGAAACCTCAGATACTCTTTTTTCCTCCCTCTTTCATTCCCCATCTCACTAAACACAGCGCCCTGTGGTCTTTTAAAACTTCCATACCATTTATAAACCAAATTCTTCTCACAAAAAGCTCAAGGCCTGCTTTCTCCACGTACAAATAAGATGCTCATTTAAGCAAGTCTAAGCTCTAAGCTTCTGGATAATGATGGCTAGGTGCTTTCCTATGCTTAGGCGAGCCCTTGAGTGGGACCTTTATGGCTATTGCTCCAGGCTGGGCAGTGTGTGCATTTCTTACTAAGCCAGGTGTTGACGTGATGTTATTTTATCTTTGGTCCTTGCCAGCCAAATGGCTGTCCTGCCCTGTCGGCAAATGCCAGTTAGCTGCACTGAAAAAGAGTTTTTTGGGAGGAATAAATGGTAAGATCAGTGCTTCATTTCTTCTTTTTCCTATCAGTGCTTCATTTCTTCTTTTCCCTACTTGGGAAGTGACACTATCTCTTAGTCTGATGACATTACAGGTGTTGATTTTTGCCCTCTAGAGCTCCAGCATTCTAAGCTGGTTGGCAATGGTAACTGCTCCTCATCTAAGCCCTTCTCTCATCCGTTCTTCCAAAACCGAACGGGCCGTGTTGAAGCTTTAACACTCACGGCACTTATTCCTCGAGTGGTTTTTCTGTTTCGTATCTTACATTTCAGACATTCGGATATATATAAACATAAAAGCGCCCGTGCGCGGCCCCTCAGCGATCTGCCAAACACAGCCGGTCGCCGCCGCGCCCCCTGCAGGCGGCTCGCGCCGGTGCAGCGGTCCCGCCCCTCTCCCCGGCGCGCGGCGGCCTCCCGCACGGGGCGCGCAGGTGCGGGACGTGCGCGCGGCTGCTTCAGTGCGCGGGGCGGGCCGGGCGCCGCTGATGTCACCGTCGTTTTCGGCGCTGCGGCTGCTGCTGCTGGGGGCGCCGCCGCCCGTGGCTGCTCCTCCGCAGCCGGCGCCGCGAGACTAAGCGGCCGCAGCGCCGGGGGCATGCGGCTGCCGCTCCTCCGCCCTCCGGCCGTGCCGTGGGCCGCGGCCGGGTACGGTGGCGTCTGATGCGGCCGCCGCGTGCGTGAGTCCCCGCGCCCCGCAGGCGGGCGGCAGGGCGGCCGCCCTTTGTCCGCGCCGGGAGCATGTGGGTGAACCCCGAGGAGGTGCTGCTGGCCAACGCGCTGTGGGTGACGGAGCGGGCCAACCCCTACTTCATCCTGCAGCGGAGGAAGGGGCACGGCGGCGATGGAGGCGGCGGGGGCCTGGCTGGTAAGGGCGGGTTGGAGCTGCCCCGGTTCGCTCTGCGGCGCTGCGGGTGGCCGGGTGTTTCTTGGCGTTGAGGCGCTTGACGTGGAACGCGCAGGTTCCTCTTCGGGTTTACACGCGGAAAGCTGAGGCTGTGTGAGCCCTCGGCGGTGCCTGATGTCTCCCGACGGGAGGGTGTGACCTGCAGGGGTAAGATTGGGGGGGTTGAGCCTCCGGGGCGTGCTGCTGGAAATACGAGCAGGCTGTAATTCACAGCCGTGTGCGATCCGAGCAGGTTTGTTTTGCCTTCTCTGCTTTCCCTGGGATGTCCTTGTGAAGGCTGTGCCCTGACTGCTTCGTTTTTAGCTGTTGTCAGCTGGAAATGTGTCTGCGGTCACGCATGCATTGGTCTCTACAATACCGTGCGTACACATCTGGGAAAACCTTCCATTATTTGCAGGTAACATACATATGTTTTACTAAAACTGGAGGTTAGCAGCCCGATGACGTTAGCACTGCTCCCTCTTGATGTGGCAGATGTGCACGCGTGCTCTCTGCAGGCAGGTGGCCTTTCCCATCCCTGCTAACACTGATGCTGGCTCTGCAGGCTAAGCAAAATAAACACACGGGCTGCATTCAAGGTCCTGTGTTTGCTTACCAGATTAAGCGTTCCTTCAGCCCTTGAGTGCTCTGTGGACTTGCAAACAATTTGCAGTCTCAGCTAACAGGCCTCGGTGAAGTGTTGTTTTTGTATGGAGGCCCTTGAGATCTTAGTGTTGAACATTAACAAAGCCCACCTTATCCTTGAGGAGAAAGGGGTGAGCAGATGTTTCGCATCAGCTTTAAATGTCCGTTGTTTTCTTGCTGTCTCTGTTCTGTTGGTTTTTCATTCCTGAAGTTACAGGAAAATCCACAGTGTTGACAAACCCATTTAGAATATTTTTTGCTTCGAAAGATTACATCCCTGCTGTTTTTGTTGAGGGGTTCTTTGCAGACTCTCACAGCTTACCCACTGGCCTCCAAGAGACTCTTCCCTCTATCTAAGCGATGTGAGTAGGCATTCTCATACCTCTCTTAACTTTGAATTAAAGATCTCATGAGGAACCGAGGCAACCTTCCTCAGTTATTGGAGAAATGTTTTGAGAATTCTGTGTTTTCATCTTATTTGCAGAGTGTATATCTCTGCCTTCGTGCAGCTGTGTGTGCAGTAGTGCCATTGGTGATACCACTCCACAAATGGAGAGATCTCTTAGGAAGAGTTTGTCCATTGAGTGAGAATAGGATACATAAATCCTTGTTTTGTGAAGCTCAGATAAGGCAACAGCATTTAAGAGATCAGACTATAGAAACGATTCCATCTATATGCGCTTTTTTCCGCTCGGTACTCAACATGTGAGAGGCAGGGATTTGTGATGCAGTGGTGAGCACGTGAGCGAGGAAGAAATAAAGCGGTGTGGAGCATCCAGACTGCTCCCAGCTTGGTAGGCACAGCAGGAAATGGAACCTGTGATGAGTTGTTTCTGTTGGAAATATCAGTACTGGAATTCTTTGCTGGTTCCTCTAACAGCTGTGGATGGCCTGTTGAGGGCTGACACAGGTGAAGGAAACCAGTGGCCCACTCTTCTCAGATGAGAGTGGCTAAAAGCCAAGTACTGAAGGACCTAACTGATTCCAAGAGTAAAGAAAATGGCTGAAACAATTAACAGGGTGCATGGTTTCTAATAACGATAGCATTTAGGATAATATTTTGGGAAGTTCTGTAGTTTCTCTAGTGACAGAGTTTGGAGGTTATTAGGTCTACATTAGAGAAACAGGAAAAAAGGGTCTTTTTTATCTTTTCCCCCCTCTCAATTTTCTTTACTGATGGGGCAGTGCAGATAACACTCTAAAAAGACACCTGCCTTTTAACTTTTAAAACATGGTACAATAGCTCTGACAAAAAGCAGTACATGTATCCTTGAAGCTGGCTGGAAACACTGAATGCAAGATCTCACTGAGGCTGAGAGTCATCAAAATTTGTATATTTAAAAGGGGATGTAAGTTCAGTCGTCACCCTTTCTTTCCTTGCAATTTAAGTTCTGCTGATTTGTCTTCCGTCATTATTGACTCTTCCAGTCATTTGTCTTAAACCTTAGAATGGTAATTGATTTTCTAGTTGTTGAGAATATGGGCTCAGTGACGTGCGAGGGCATTGGTGTGTAACTTAAACCGTGGTTCAGCAATGAGAGACATTGATTTTCTGGCATTCCCTTCAAATGTAGGTTTTCTGTGGAGCTAACCAGTCTGAGCTGGGCTAAGTGTAATGATTTCTGTCTTCTCTCTGTTGATGTTTCAGACTTTGCAGAATGCAAGTTGAGGCTGTGCTGCAATGCCAATGTGTTGGTGTAGCTGACAAGAGGAGGTAGAGTGCTTTCCCATAAGTGGTGGCTTGGGAAGGTTGGGTACAGACTTCTCCTGTGCTTGGATGCTGTGACTGGAGATGTGCCTAAAGGCTGGCAGTCACCCTCAGAGTGGATGCTAGTGTCTCTGTCTGTCTGTCTTTCATCATTTACTTGTCACCCTCCAGTAGAGGGGTGTTATTATTGCCAGAGCAAAGTCCAAACAAAATGATCTTTTGGGTCTTTAGACACATCCCAGCTGAAAAACAAGTAGTTTGTATAGCATTAGGAGCAAGTGAAAGTAATTCTTGTGACTTTATGTTGAGAAAGAGCAGTACCCACATTGCCTGTTCTCTTGGATCTACTGTGAGCACAGCAATCGCACAGCAATCTTTTGCTGGAAAGACAATATCAGTAACTTCTGGAGAAGGGCTGAAATCTCAGCCCCATCTCTATTGAGTCTCTCCCGTGGGCCTCAGTTTATACAGCTTAGCAGAAAGGAGAGAGCCTAATTTTGTTACTCATTTGGACATTAGAGACTTTTAAACTTTAGTGTTGAACTGTAACCTGTTAGAAGCATGACAATCATATTGTTTGTATTAGGGCAGTGCCTCATTGCCTAATGAATCCCTAGAAGTCATCTGTGCTAACAAAATGTGTCTGATGAATGGTTTGCTTAAGATCTACAGCTTTTCTACTAGATTGTGTGAAGCCATTTTAGACTAAATTAAGTCCTGGATGCTTCTAAATGACTGTTTTTGTCAGAACCAGTTACTTCACTGCATTTTTCCTTTGTAAGTATGCCTTTCCTCAAGGGCTATTTAGGTTTTTTCATTTTTAACAAAAGAAAAATGAGGAAGAGACACAATTTCTATGTTAAGTAGTTTTGGTCATTTTGTCATTGCTGTCTTGCAAATTTGCCTTGTCTTGCATCACTGCATAATTCTTCCAAAGACTAGACTAAAAAAATGTACTTTCATGCTGTAAGTGTGTTTGATAGGCACATAATCCTGTATGTTGTGTTTGCAGGAAGCTCTTGAGTGAAGGTCATCTTCCTTTTGCTTGCTGTCAGGGGAAAAAGCCATTTCTCAAAGATGCTGGTGGTTCTTTTCTTCATAACTGCTCTATTTCCTGCTTGTCAGCTACCTGCCCTGCTCAGGTTGGTGGTTTGGTCTGTGTGAGATATTTCCTTCTCAGAGGATCCAGTGTGTAATAGGGCAGCTTGTGTCAGCTGATGCAGAGGCAGCTGGAGAGAATGTGAGCACAGACCTGTCGCATCATTTGAGCACTCTATGCTGTATGACTTACATGGATGTAAGGATCTTGAACATGTAATAAACTCCATGAATAACTGAAAGGCTTACACTTTTTCTATTAGTGTATGTTGCATTCTGATACATCACATAGGTTAAAAACTGCTGTATCTGCTTTCAGTTATAACGTGGTAAAGCTTACCAAAGACTGCTACTTGGGGACAACATTACAAGGAATTAGTGAGACTAGGAGTTGACAGTAAAGCAGTGTATTCACAGTTTACAGAGCATGATACATTCTATGAAATTGTTGTTTTCCTTTTGCGTATGTAATTTCTACATGAAACAGACATGAAATTCTAATTCATTTCCTTCTAAATAAATTCTTGTTCTTTGAAAGAAGTGTTTTTAGGAAAGAATTATTTTGCAGATATGGCATTTATGCTTACAGCTGGGACAGTGCGTGTGTGAGATTCAGTGCAAGTTTGTGAGTCCATGAGACGTTGCCAAAGATGATTCAGATGCTGAAGCAGAAAAGAGCAGATGGAAATTTGCTGATTTCTGGCTATAAAAGAAATTGATGAAGTACTGTCATTCTCACCAGCTATTTTTGCAAAAGGATTTATCATACGTTTTCGGCATTGGAAAGTCAGGAAGGAGAAGTTCTGAGCTCAGCTGACTAATGCAAGGCCATAATGTCAAATCTAATGTTTTAAAGACTATGACAGCGTCCTAACAGTGCGTTTGTGCAGCCTTCTTGGGCATCACGCAGTTGCTCAGATTGGGAGAAGACTTTCATCTTGCTCTCAAGTCAGAGAATTGAGGAAGAAATTACTTAAAAACCTTTTTATGCCTAAGATAAGTGTTTGACCTGATTAGGAGGTGGTGCATGCTTTAACAAACTCATTAGTTCAAGCTGCTGGGGTTTTATATGTCAAACTTTTGCACTTCAGTTGAAAATGTGCTTTCTAATGCTTGAAATGCAGTGGTTATAAAAATTGAGGCTATTAGTATAATTACTTGTCCGTTCAACCTGTCCATTAGCTTTTCATGCCTGTTCTGGTTGGTGCAGTGGAAAGTCTTCCATTTGTGGAATTTCTGTGGTGCACCAGGTGTGCTCTGTCACTACTGAGATTTCTTAATAGGATCTGCTGTGGGTACGTTCGTCTCTTCAGTAGTAGACTTCCACTTGTAGGGATCTGGATGCCAAAGTGTTGAATTGGTTCTAGTTGTCTGAATTGACTCACCAGTCTTTCTACTCAATCCTAGGTGCTTTCACATGTGCTTTGTTGGAAGGTGTGTTGTTTTCTGTCTCATGCTTCTGTTATCTCTGGTTCTTACAGACGAGGCACTCTTTGCAAGGCTGCAGCACCTGAGATGAGAATTCTTAACG